ATTGAGATTGCTAGGTCTAATAAAGGATTAGTGTTAAATTAAAGGAAGTATTTCTTAGATTTAATAGCAAACACTAGTTTAAGAGCTGCTAGGCCAAGAAATATTCTTATGACCCCAGGATTAAAGTTATTCAATGAAGAAAAGGAGAGGGAGAAAGATAAACTGTTGATTGACCCCACTAGATATAGGAGATTAATTGAAAAATTGCCTTATCTTGCTGTTACATGTCTTGACATTTCATACATAGTACATGTGTTTAGTCAATTTATGAGCAACCAAAAGAAATCTCATATGAAAACTATAATGAATGTAGTAAATTACTTCAAAAAAGACCCTAGCAGGGGACTATTTTTCCCTGCTAATGGGAACACAAAACTTGTGAGTTTATGTGATTCTGATTAGGTAGCTTGCCCAAAAACAAGGCGATCTATTACTGATTACTTGATCAAGTTAGGAGGTGCTCTAATCGCTTGAAAGTCAAAGAAGCAAGGAACAATATCAAAATCATCCATAGAAGCTAAGTATAGAGTATTATGAAGTATGGTTGCAGAGATAATTTAGGTATCGATAATGTAACCCCTGTGACAATAAAGTGTGACAACCAAGTTGCCATACAAATAGCAATAAACCCTATATTCCATGAAAGAATGAAGCACATTGAGATTGATTATCATTTTCTTTCGAGAGAAATTGCAAGATGGCTCAATTGTTTTACAACATGTGTCTTCTAAGGAGCAAGAAGCAAATATCTTAACTAAGTCTCAAGACAAAAGAGTCATGAGTATTTACTGACCAAGCTAGGTACCTTGAACATTTTTAATTCCCATTTGAGGGGGAGTGAAGAAAATATTGGGCCGTGGGATGCATAATTAGTTTGAGGCTTTCTTGCATTAGGCTTAATCTAGTTTTACATTCTTGTGTTGTGTGTGATACTTTTGGGGGCTATATATATATCTCGTCTATCCGGTTGTATTTTTGAGGTTGTTAATCATAATAATAAGTATCATTCAGTTAGCCTATTTTGTTCAACACTTCTTAAATGGTACCCATGATTTGGAAAACTCATCTTGAATGAGAGTATTTATATTAAGAAGTTGGCTCGTATCTTCCATTGGGTCCTCCTTTTGTTTATTATTTTCGGGTGAAATGAGTTTGGGTCTTGTACCTGATCGTTGTCTTAACAAACCAAAAAAATTGGCCAAGAAAAAATATATAAACCAAAAATATTTAGGAACACATAACGGATTCGAACGATAGTCACCATGAAAGGACATGATATGGGCTGGGCCAAGATGCAATTGTTTTAGGATAGGCAGGCTCTTGGGCCTAATTTACGTACACATATGGATCCAAACTTGTCAGCATTAGATAAATATAGAATAAACATGAATGTAAATAAAAATGAATAATTGAAATTAAAATGGAAAAATATCAATAAAGATCCTTTGACTAGATTTATTTTAAATAAAAGCTCTTAAATTTTTGAAATATCACTGCAATTCAAAGGTCCTGATTTGATATTAATTTTTTAAGAAAAATAATAAAATTACTTCTCATTTAAATTAATATAACAAATTCTCTGTTTTACTTGTTCATTCACTTACAGACTTTTTCATTCAACTGAAATAAAATTAAGTAAAAGTAAGTCAATGATTGAGAGTCCGTAAATAAATGAATACCATATACTATAGAAATAAATCAATTATTTTAAGATAATTTAAATACTTAAAAAAAATTAAATGAAGTAAGACAATTAATAATATTTTGTAAGGCAATAAATAAGAGAAATATGACAATTCTGATATTAATTTAAATGAGAGATAATTTTATTATTTTTTAAAAAATTTTAATATCAAAATTATAACCCTAAATTGCAGCGATATTTAAAAAACGTAGGACTTTAATTTAAAATAAGTATGTTCAAGAAGTTTTTATTAATATTTTTTCAATTAAAATTCATAATCTAAAAGCAAGATTGGAAGGATTTAGGAATGCATTCGACGGGGTGGGCAGGGGCAGAAAAGGATAAAAGGAACCAACATGAAGACGACACACTGAAATCCAAAGGCTGTAGTGGGGACATAGGCGCATAGCTTTAGGAGCAGTTTTAAAGAAATGAATAGGACGAGGTGTTGCCAAGAAGTGACGGCGGAGCTAACGTCTGTACATAACGGGCGAATAGAAAAAATCAATAAAGCTAATGTACGTGGCAGTAACATCATGAACCTGTTTCATACTTCTTTAAAATCAATTATAAAGTTTAGGATAATCTTTTTAGATTTCTTAGACTGTATTTGGTTCCGAAAACTCTATTTTATAAAAGCTAACCAAATGCCATCAATTTATTTTAAAATTTCATTTGGTTATTGAAATTTTATTTTACATAAGCTAATTTTTCTTCCTTTTAATAAATTAATTTTACAAAATTAACTTTAAAAAAATATTTTTTAAATATTATCATATCCTGTCAATCAATATTTTTCAATTAAAATTCAAACAGGCCACGTAGAACTTTGGACCAAACACAATAATGGGCTAAATCTAACTGCTAAGGATGTTGCTTTATCAGTTTGTCCGACCCATATTTCATGTTCTGTTTTGACTTGGGTTGTACAAAGATAGATTAAAAATATCAGACTTTATATTTGAGTTGCAATAGATAAAAAAAAAATCGAGATATCAAATCACTTGATCTAGTTGATCTAGTATGATCATATAAAATAATTTTAATTATAATTATTTTTAATTTAGTTTGAAGCCTAAGCACTCAATGTAGTATTAACTTGTTGTAATGTAATTTAAACATGTATTTTTTTTCTCATTTAAGACACTTGAGCGATGCACCTAGCAAATTTAAAAAAAAAATCCCAAATATGTACCCCAAAATACTGTAGTTTTTTAATGCTCCAGATTTGTATTGTACAAGTATTTTTCTTCACATCAAATGATACTATTTGAAGTTTGTTTTTGCAGGCGTGTTTAAAAATTTGGGTGTTTTGTTTTTATTGAACAACTTCTTAAATGTTATGAATTTAAGTTCTCTCAATTGTTATGGATTTATTATAACTAGATGTCAATGTTTTGTTGTAAATTTTACATAATTATAAGTATTTGTGTTATCTTAATTAAGTTTATTAGATTAAAATACATTGTTGCCTCTCATAGAGAAAAAAAATAAAATGAAATATTGGACTATTAAGAATAGCCTCCCAATCCTACAAATCAAATCAAATCATGTTCAACTTTAAGTTAAATCTAGACTAAACCAGATTATATTTGCCTAAACCAATCATTTTCCACAAAAAAAAAAAAAAAACTTTGAGTCAGATCAAAATCTTATCCTTTTAGTCTTTTGTGCAGTTTTAATTATAAAGCCTCTTATATCTAAAACCACCTTCATTTTGTTGCAATCCTATTTCTCTACTGTCATCTACTATTCTACTGTGCTTTAACTTGATGCCCCCCTTGTTACCATGACCTGCATCATGTTTGGTATGTTGCAATAAAAATAAAGAAAAAGAATGGGGATGAGAATGAAAAGCCAATGTTATGGTATGCATGAAAAAAGACGATCACTTTTTTAAATGATGTGTGGTTCAATAGAAGTAAAGAATGAAAAGGAATAATAAGTAATGAGAAAGGTACTACTTGCTTAGCTATACAAATTAGGGTTAATATATAATTTGAACGATAAACTATAGATTCAAAAATGATTTGAACATTAAACTTTTAAAAGTTGCATTTTCAACATTAAACAATTAAAATTAGAACAATTTTACTTTCACTGTAAAATTTCAATAAACATTTGTTAGTTTTTAAAAAAATTAAAGTTTATTGTGTGATTTTTACTAAATTTTAATCTCTCCTCTATCTCCTACCCTCATTTGAAAAAAAATTACACATTAAATCCTATTTTGATGGAATTTTATTTAAATTTAACGTTTGAAAAAAAATTATCTTAACTTTAATTGTTTATGATTCAAAATATATCTTTTAACAGTTTAAATTTTAAATCACCCCTGAACTAAGATAAAATTGACTTTTTAAAGAGTATTCACACATGTACTGCACCATCTCTTTGATGTTCCAATGAAGTAAAATTTAGTGGAATGTTATTCCATGGAATCATGCAAGGGGAGGAATCTGTGCAAACTAGACAAAATCATATCCCCTTTAAACCAAAAACAACCCTAGAGTTACCTACTTAAAATTTTATATAAAAAATATTTTTTAATATATTATATAATTTATTATCTCGATTTTTCTCATTAAAATATGCACAAGTTCTCAGAAAAATATTTCCAAAAAATAATACTTACTTGTTTTTTAAATTGCTTTATTCCCCTAATTAGACTTATTTTGCTATAGATTACATGGGATTTGATGTGCATTTTATTATGATTAAAAGTAAAACTATTTTTGCTAATGAGCCAGCGGTCAAATGGCACGATCTCTCCCCTTCATGCGAGGGGTCCAGGGATCAGTCCCAAAGTTGCTCAAAAAGCTAATTGGATTATCGCATTGATTTTTTCTTTTTTGGGGTCTGAAACTACCGTATTGTTTGAACTCACTTATTTTTTACGTCTCTAATAAGCATAAAAATGGGGAGGGGGTTTCTTTTTTATGTCTCTTACTTGCATTGAATTGGTTTCGTTTTGGTTTCTAATTTTTATAAGCTTTGATTTTATTCTTTTTAATTGGTTAATTTCATCATCTATTTCCCTATAAGCATTTAAATTTTTCTTTAACGCACTGAAATTAATATGTTTATCGGTTCATCTTTTCATCATTAGAACTGAAGGATTGTATTTGTTGAAATGGAGATTCATTTTTCTGAGAATTACTCTTGACTTTTCCCAGTGATGTATCTTTTAAGAATCACTCCTAAGTGTTCTGCTCAATGATTCATCCCTTGAGAATGATTTAAAAATTTTATTTAGTGATGATTATAGTTCATACACAAGAAAATTACTTTAAGTTTATATTTGCTTTTTTATTTTTTGAAATCACTTTAACAAGCATTTTATTTTTATCTACAGATTTTCGCCTCTATGCACAAGCCACAGCTTCCTGAAGGATTTTGGAGCTCCAATTGGATTGCCTGAAAGCCTTCATTGGACTCGGAAAGTTCCATCCCCTTCTCTTCCTCGCTCCTCTGATTTCTCCAACGCCGCCGGAAACTGCCACCGACCTCGACTTCATCAGTGTTGCCATTTTTCCGTCCACACTCTTCTCATCATCTTCCCCCACGACACTCTGACAATTCTGCTCTGGCACTCCATTCCGATTGCTCTTCGGTGGCTTGAACATCGACCAAAACCACCTCGTTGACCTGCTTCTGGTCAGACTGGGAACATCTTTCACCGTGGCGCCGTCACAATCCAACTCTCCGTCGCCCGCGGGGAACCTCGACCTCGAACGGAGAAACGGAATCGCAACGGACCGTGATCTTTTCAGTCTTCCGGCGACGTCACCTGCGAGGGAGGATCGAGAAACGGAAGCAGAGGCGGAGAAGGAGGGAGAGGAGGAGGTAGCGGCGGCGGAGCAGGAACAAGGCCGGACGTGGGCGCAGTCAGGGCAGAGAGCAAATTCCTGTACGGCGTCGTTTCGATGGATGCCTGGGACACTTCCAGACCTCTTCCTCATCCAGGTAAAACCCCATCATCGCTTATTGGTTTCAACTTTCGCACGAAGAAAATTTGCCCGGTGATTTGGAATTTTTTTCTTTTGAAAATTTCTCACTATCATATATTTTTTAAATCAAGCCATCCAAGTTGTTATAGCACTTTGAGTTTAAGGGAGAGCATCGAGACAGATATTTATTCTTTTAATTTATATTATTTATTAAAATTTATTCTGCTAAGATATTATTAGGATATTTATTAAGGATCATTAAATTGATGATAAGAATTTTGCATTGATAGAATAAGCTCTTTTCCACAATCATTTCTTTATTTATTCCTGACTACTTTTGGTAAATTGACGTAAAAAAATCCATAAAATAAGCATAATATATAACTGATGATGAGACAAACAACACTTTAAGCTGAGCTAGTATTAATGAATCAGACCAACACGCAATCAACAGACACGGTCTTGCACACACAAGGCAAAACAAACCAACTCGGCCTCTCAGTCTCAGGTCAAGAGCTTTGCATTTTATGATTGAAACTGCGCCCAAAAAGAAGGAAAAATAAGGAAAAGAAAAGTGTGTGTGTGTGTGTAAAGCAAGATCATACGTTGATTATGGCGGCATTGTGGTGTTAACATTTTGACTTTATCGAAGTGCTTCTATTTCTATGATTGAAACTGTGTGGAGAGAATATATATATATATATATATATATAAAGCAAGATCCATATATTTGAATGATAGTTGTATTGCGGTGGTACATTTTGACTTTCTCGTGTGAATATGAGGACATAAGTGATCAAGCGAGATGCTCTTCTCCATCGCTTTCTTTCTTTCTTTCTTTTTCTTTCAAAAAGAGAAATTAAAATAGAGATCATGTAATTGAGTTTAGCAAATTCTGAGTGATGGAATGTATGTGTAGCTGTATAAAGTTGAAGGAGACGTCAAAATTCAAACCAAACATCATCGTTAAAGTTACACGTAAATAACAATTAATGAATTGACCGTGTCTGACATATCTTATTCTGAAACTTACATAAATTATTTCAAAGTTTTTTTTTTTTGTTATTGGTATTCAAAATTGAAAGGGGAAAAACTTTAGAATAAAATTTTTTTAAAGCAACCCCCACCACCAACCTCAATCCCGTTTAATTAATTAATATTTAGCCACTCATTTATCTCTTGTATATATTTAATTTGTATGGGCACTAGCATATATTAATATAAAACCCCGTTGGTTCATATATTAACAGTAATAGATAAAAATATTTAAATAAAAATTCTTACTATGAGAGATGTTCATATATAATGCTCGACTATATTTTGAATAGAATTATTTTTAATATGAAGTTACTTGTAAGTAATCTGAAAAAATAGAAAATATTCAAATAAAAACTTCAACAATATAATTGGAGAGGAATGTCTCTGTGATAAAATTAAACCGTGTATATGCATGTGTGTGAAAAAAAAAATAAATTGAACTACATATGTAAATATAATGCGCTGCTGGGCAGACGATGTTACTTTTAATTTTATTTAAATGTAATTTCGATACTTCCACTTGCGTCACATGAAATCCAAGTGAACGTACAGTGGTGATCAAATTCAAAGCAACCCGCTGCCTTTCTTTTTTATCCGTAGCAACGCACTGCCTTGCTTGTATGTAATGTAAAACTAGAGGCACAATGCAAGGGGCATATTAAAATGACACATGATAAACTTCTTTTTTATTATAAATCCAAAAGAGAAACAGAACTTAACTATTTGTGCCAAAAAAAAAATACGTTTCCGTGGTGTTACCAAAATAAATATAAAAAAATAATACAATGTTTACGAAATTTTTTAGTTATTTTCTATGCTGCAAGGGACATTATCTGGTTCTTCATGCGATGGATAAATCAAAATTCTTTTAGTAATCAGGAAATCCCATTTCCCGCTGGTATAGAGTACAACATTTTTGGAAGAGATTCAACATTTCAAAATATAAAATATTTTGATAAAAATAAATTTTTATTAATGATAATTTTTTAATATTTCTCCTTCCATATATTCTTTTTTTTTTATATTCTTTCATAAATGGAGAGTATTAAGTGAAAATATTTTTAAAATTTTATATTTTTATTTTAAAAGAGTAAAGTTATAAAGTGTATTTAATAAGTTTTATTGATATTAAAAATAAGAATATGGGTCAACTCAGATCATGTGGGTTAGAGGAAATATGAATTGGATTTGGTATAACTCATTTTCATATAAGTTAAAAAAATGCCAACACAACCTAATTCTTGAGGGTTGGAGGGTAAATGAGCTAATCAGCTAACTCATTTATTTTTTATTTAATTTATTTTTATGAATTTTAAAAAAATACACCTAAATGATGAATTTTAACTTAATATTTTTCATGATTCATTTTAGATACAACAAAAATATTAACTCATAGCCAGTGGACAGGGGTTAAGTCAAGATTCAAAGTCAAAAGGTATAAGATAACTTAATTTTAAAATTAATAATTTAAAAAATATTTTAAATAATGAAAAATAATAACTACTTCTAGGCTAGAATTGTAATAATATAAGTAAATTGATCTTATTTTTCTTTTTAAAAAAATCACATTGAACATGCAAAGACAATCTTTTATATAAATAAGCTCTTCATATTTTATCTTGATTATTAATACATTACATATCTAATAAGCTTTTGTGCTTAAATATTTTTTATTTAATTCAAAATGTATAGAATATCAAGAGTAGAGGGTGAAAAGTTATGAAATTTACATACTCTTTATAATTTTTTTCCAAAGTGGGGGAGTACGTTTGCCCACTCTCAGTACTAGTGGCAGAGCAAGGATCCTGTGTTGGGAGTCAATGATGAAGTCAAGATCCTCAACATAAGAAAAACTTTTCTATCTTTTAAATCTACTATTTTTCTTTTTTTCTTTCTTTTTATTTGTTTCATAGTTCAATCTTGCAAGTGCAACGAGTCAGCAAAAAAGCATTCAACAAATTTACTCTTGAATATTAAATCTTCATCATTCATTGCCTTATTTTATTAGTCCTTGACTAGTATTTGGATGAGGATGACATGGCTCCAATTTAATCAAATTAACTTTTTTTGTATTTTTTAAAGGATATATAAATAATATTGGTATTTATATGAAATTACATGCTAATATTCAATGGGCTTTTAAGTTAAAAAAATGAATTTTAGATATGCCCCATACATATCATTTTTCCCAAGTTGAGGGGGATTGACAAAATGTAGCTCTACCCATGCTTGCTACACTGTGTCTCTACCATAGCCTATAATATTTATGCAAAATATATGAACTAAATTAACTAAGTAAGTAATGTCCTATATGGTCATGCTCACAAATTTCCTCATTTTTTTCTTTTTTTTTTACTTTTAAAATAATATGGGTGAAATGAGCTTACGCTAACTCATATGATTTGTGAATTATATAGTTCAGACTAGAAAAAACTTACTTTTTTTTGGATTTATTTTTTCAATCAAACCTAACCCATATAATTGATTATCCAAACTAACTCATAATATCATTATGCGTAAAAGGAAAGGGGGAAGGCGAATATCGTTTTCATACACTTGTTTTCTAATGAGTTTTGTTAAGCAGCATCCTTTTCTTGTCCAGACAATGTAATGCCTTGTAAATATTTGCCGCGCGGAGGGCTCGAAAGAGTTGGCAAATCCTTTTTCTTTTCAATAATGACAATGCAAGTAGATATTTGGGGAGCATGCCGCAAAAAATATCTAGAATTATCTCTGGTCACACTACAGGGCTATAACTGTCGGAGCTGCAAGTTATTTTCGACGTGCCATATATATATATATATATATGAATCTATGATAATCCCTGTAACTTGCAAGTTGTACTCAAAATTGGAGAATTACATATGCGTCCCATATAACATATTTAAATACTAATAGATCCATTAACATCTCAGCAAAGGAAATCAATTTTTTAATTATTGTAAGTTTAGGACTTATTGGATTTTGTTCTATCTTTTATTTATAAACATTGTTTGTAAATTAATTTTTTAAATTTAAAAAAAATGAAAATTTATCTAATTATTTTAATTTGAAAATAAGTTTAGAGTTAAAAAATACAAATAATAATCATCACCTTTGATTAATGATAATAGCCTATAATAATGGTTGACCATAACTAAAGATAATTTATAATAGTTAAATATAATTTTTTAAAAAAATAAAAAATAATTCCAAGTTATTTAATTTCCATTTTTTTAGAAAATGAGGACAATTTTAAAAGTATTTAAATTCAAAGTATTTACCCAAATGAATTTTATATTGTTAAAAATAAAAAATAAAAAATGTAAATTTTATTGGGAGAATTATATTGAAGCTTTAATAAGGAAATAAATTACTATAAAATTCATTGACAATTGAACTAAACTACATTGACAACACAATTAATTATCAATATAGTTTAATTCAATTGTCAATAAACTTGGTCGTAATTAATTTTTTTGTGTTAATTCTCCTTATTATATTTAGGATGAGGTGGGATAGTACATCTTCAGGTTGTAGTTCTATATTATCCTGAACCTTTTTTTATCCCATGTTGCAAATACCCATCCCATTTGTTTTCAGGTTGGTAAAGACTAGTCTCTTCATGAGTGGGATGTAATTAGGCCGATTGAGAAGGAAAGAAGAGTATGAACACCTCTAAACATTGGTTGGTAAAAAAAATATAATCCCCTTTAAATCACAATAGAAGGCATTTTTTAAAAGTTTTATTTAGTCTAAAATATAATACATTGAATAATTTTTATAGCTGCCTTTTCAATTATAACTCTATTTCATTTATTATTAAAAAATGAGTTGAAATTTTACTTGTTATTATCAAGACACTTATATAATATGTTTAATGTGAGAATAATTAAAAATATGTTAATTTTTTAAGTTTCAATTAACATTTTTTTAAAATTATGAATTAATTACTAATATTTTATATTGTGACAAGGAAAATGTATTTTTAATTACATGGAAGGAGTGTGTGTTCAACCATGCATTGCTTTTTTTGTTTCTT